ACACCACGTGGACCTTTCCGTGGAACGTTGTCTCTCGTCCTTCCTTTATGTCTTTTCGTACGATTCTTTCGATGGCTTCCTCTAAAATTCTATTATAAGAGTTTCTTCCTATCGATTCGCTGGCTCCTCGTAGCTTCTAATTGTTTTACACTCAATCTGACGCTGCACCACTTCTCCGTCCTTATTCTACGGACTTCGAGCCCAGACTTCTCCTTTAGCTTCGTAGTCTCCGATCGTCTCACACGCGATCCAGAGCACTACCTTCTCTCGTCAGTCCTCCTCGAGAGTTCCACCTCGACTGTTCTTTCCTTTGTTCTTTTTTGCCTTAGGGTCCCACTTCACCCTTTGTTCCATTCCCATTTCTTGGGATTGTTAATCCCACCCAAGGGAAAAGGTTGGAAAGGAAGGTTCTAGAAAAGTCAGAAATAAAGGAACAAAGAAACTTAAAACTAACTAAAATTAATATATTTTATACAATATTATGGCTGACGGCCACACTATTTTGTATGAGAACATGCTGGTATAAAGAATGGAAGATACTCCGGTTTATCGTAAATGCTAGTGGTAATACATCCTTTTTTTTTTAAATAAACATATATGTCTAAAAAATGTGCTGATGAATTACTGTGCTGATCCAATTTTAATGTTAGTCTGTATGGATTTGTGTTAAATTGTTCTAGAAGCTTCTCTATATCCGGTTTTGTTTTCCAAATTATTAGAATGTCATCTATGTATCTGGTGTATAAATATATATCTCATGCAATTTTTAATCATATTTTAAAAAGAATTGTATTAATCATAAAGATTGAGTCATTATTGGCAGCCTGGCAGTCGTGTTATGATCACCCAAGCCAGAGGAGAAAAAATAACATCTTAATCTTAATTTCATAAAAACTTATTTTATTGTTAATTTAAGAGATAAGTATTAGCATCTTGTATTTTATATATTTACAAGATATGTTGTTTAGAAATAAAAAAAATTTTGTTTCAGTTTCTGTTTTGAGAAAAAGGAGAAACCTTCCAAATCTTGAAATTTCAGATGTAGTGTCTCATACTGTATTTAGAGTTAATACATATATACTAAAAAATGTATTTATTTTTTTCTAAGCTCAATTAGATGCTTTAAAGTATGGCATCACAGGATTTCCCGAATACACTCTCAACAGCAGCTACTGTTGCAGCAGCTACCTATGCAACATCTGCTGCAACTCATGCTCCTCCACCTCCTCCACAACCCTCATCTAAACCAACTGTAAATATTCATTTTGATCGTAGTTATGCACAAACAATACCTGGTATTTTAAAAATTGCCCAAGTGGTAAGTAATGATTTTTAATCTTTGTTGATTCTTATATATATTTTTTATTAAACAAAATTTCATATTCGATAAAAAATACAATTTATTTTCTTGTAAAAATTATAATAAATTTAATTATTACTTTAAAACATTTAAGTATTATCTTCAGTTTTAAATTTCTTGTAATCAAATTCAGTTGCTAATGAGCAATTATTTATTGTGACATCATCACAATGCCGGGCTGCAATTTTTAATCATATTTTTAATTTAATTTAAAATATATGCTTTCCACCTCAAATTAGTAGTGTCTTGCCTCTCTATATATTATAATTTTCCCATTACAATAGAGTCATGCCGGTCATCTATCTAACTCCTTTCAGGGGAAAATTTTTTAAATTGAAATAATGTGACTTCCAGTGCAAACAAGAAGTTGGTATATAGTTAATTGGGCCTCCTGCCTCTAAGCTTTCTGTATCTGGCTCAACTTTCACCTATCTAACTCCATTGTCAACACTAAGGAAGGACAAACAGACAGCCAAGACAAAGGTGGGAATTGTCTTGGCTGTGTCTACAATTTTTACAAATTATTTCCCCAAAAAGATTCAAAATTAGGCAAAAACTTGTTGAAATGTAATTGCTCTCATTTATAATAATTTTTTTAATTAAAATTTTTCAGTAACTAATTCTTTTATTTTATCCATTCATTAGGACAATGCAGTAGTGTTCGAATGACTGATATCTAGTTCTTTTAAATTAATATTTGTAGATTTATGATCATGGACAATGTGAAGAAATTGATGATTTAGCTGTTTACATTCTTTACAGTTTTAAATAAATTTTGCTGGCCAAAAGTTTATCTCCATCTCAATCAATGCAATATTTAAAACTACAAAGCAATCACTTGCTATAGTTTGTCATTTTAAAAACATAAATTTTTTAGAGATGTCTGTTTTCTGTCTCCATAAACACAAAAATGAAATTGTTAGTTCTATGACTCTACAACATGCTAACACCAAACTTCTAATATAGACTGATTTATTAACATTTTATATCTAATCACTTTTATATGTAATTTAGAAATTAAAAATTTTTGATATTCTCTTCTCTTGATTACAAATTATACCATTACTGAAAATAGTCTAAATGCAATTTATTCTAGTAATATAATTGAATAAGTGTACATTTTGATGACAACTTTTTTATATACACAATTCTCTTTNATACAGTTTATATAATACATAGTAAATATTATTAGGTACTCTGTACTTAATTACATTTTGTTTTATTATTATTTTTGTATTTATTAAATTGAAAATCTTATTGTTGAAATGCCTCAAATCTCAAATAAATTGTTATCAAGTAAGGTTTTAAATCAAAATAATTAGATATATGTTTTAAAATTTAATGTTCAAAATAAATTTTGCTAGACCTTTTCCAAGGAACAAGGGTGCACACTGACTCTACTTGCTCCAGGGTGCCGAATATGTAGTTATGCCACTGGTTGGGATCAAGCTGAATGATGACTTCCCAAAAAGTACGGCTACAACAATTACCATCTAATGTATAGAAAATTTTATTCAATTCTCAGGAAGATTTAACTCAGCTAACAATTTTGGTGAATAAGATATAAGAAATCTCCAATGAAAATACTTTAGTATACATTGCTGCAATAAAAAATGAGCATCAATATCACTATTTCATGATGACAATAACTGAACTAAAAAATGAGATTGACAAACTAGTGGAAAGACTGTCTTCGGTAAGAGCATAGTCATTCTGGTGGGTATCCATTTACAGCAAACAGAGGGAAAGACGGAATTGTGAATCAAACAAAACTCCCAACTTCTGTTATTAACACAACTGTTTTGGAAATTCCACTAGGAAATACAGTCAGTCATGCTTCTCCTCTCAAAAAATGCCACTTAACATGAATTGGGTTTCAGTAATAACAAGTTTTTGTTAGCATAGACTAATTGTTTACAACAGAACAACAAACTGTAAATATTTAATTGACACTGGGAGTGATATGCCCCTTATATCAATTTCTTTCATTGAAGCAGATTTTTTAAAAATATTTTGGGCTGTTTGGGCATCTGAAATGACAGATTCATTGATGCTGTAACAAATCTTAGCACTCAAAGGCTACCCAACCACTCCTCACAGGAAGCAGTTAAGCAGTAATAAAAAAATAGCCTCAGTTCCATTCATCACATCGACAGGTCAAGCAAGGATATCTAGACTGTAAACAGCAATTAGTGGAAGCAACTTTATTGGTTTACCACTCACCTATAACCTCAAGACTAGTGCTATTTGGTGGATGATTAGTTCTTCCTTTCTCTTCTAGTTCCTGTTTCACCTGCTAGTTCTGTTATAAAGTTGTTTGTTATTTTAGTGCTTTCCTTTTTACTTTCCCAGCTGTTATGTATAACAGTGGAAAAGTATGGCAATCAGTCAAACAATGACCCCCCAAGATTTTTACATTTTTGGGCTAGGACACCATGAAAAAAACGTTTGGGGTAATTTCTGTTTGTATGGATGTTAGCGTTTGTGTGGGGAACACAATTTTGTTCACCCTGTTTGAAGCTTAACTCCTGTGCTTTTTGTCAAAATTATCTAAAATTTTGCAGAGAGGTTTGTTTATTAGGGGATTGATGCTATTAAATTTTGGTAGTTAAAGGTTGAGGGGTGGAGAGATAATGGGGTTTGTGTGTATCTCCAGTAGGGTTGGACTTAATGACAATTTTACTTATTATTACGACTTTTACAATTTTTTATGAAATCCATTTCTACCCTCAAAATTAAATTAAGCTTTTTGCCATTTTAGAATAGTTAAAAATATAAAGATTTTTAATAAATTATGATAACAGATGGTGACTATTTTACATTTGTATTTCTTTATTTTCTCTGTAGTTAGATGCCCATTTATTGCCACTTTATCTAATGTATGAAAATTAGCTATTTAGATATGCATCATGCATAGATGTTCAAATGCTGGAAGTGCATTGTCCTGTTTTCTTACCAGGTAGAGGTAGTTCTTGGGTGAAGCTCCTTGACAGCTGTTACCTTTTTTTCCTTTTTTTGGCAGTGACTACTTTCCCCACTTAGAAGGCAATTCCCTGAAATGCCAGAGATACAATGAAGAAAATACCAATTGTGAATTAAAATTTAATGTCACGTTCAATTTGAAAAAGACAAAAATATGTGCGATAAAACCAACTAACGAAGTGTAATAATAGGCCCAAATGTACAGTACATATTGGTTTAATAAAATCTCAATGAACTTTCCTATTGAAAACTGGTATGATAAGTACTTCACTTTTGAATTTGCTATGAATTTGAAGATTAATGTAAAATATTTTTAAAAGTTCTGTCATAGGTAAAACTTTTTACTACAGAAGCATTCACCACAGTAGTCACCATAAACATAAATAATAAATGTTAGTTTCTTACTTGTTTTCAATATGTAAATCATTTTAAAGCATACTTAGTGATTGTAATTATATAGATATGTAATATAATTTTCTGATTTAAGGTATTGCATTTTAGTAGACTTTTTTGAAATTTTTAATCATTTTAAACTTGCATTACTGTTGTATACATTTATGCTTAAATTTTATTTTTAAACCATTACTTTACATCTGTGTATTAATACTTGTTTCTTAAATTAACAATAAAATAACAAGTAGTTATGAAATTAAGTTTAAATTGTTATTTTTTTCTCTTCCTTGGGCATGGATGGTCATAACATGACTGCCAGGCTGCCAATAATGACTCACAATCTTCATGATTAATACAGTTCTTTTTTAATATAGCTTTAAAAATTTATAGAATTTCAAGTTTTTGTAAGTTCTTTGTTGAAGTTCAATTTAATTAATTGTGTTTCATCAAGTTTGGCCATCACCCCCATTTCCTGGTGTATAAGGTTAAAGACATAACAGGATTATTCTTTTCAATGTTGTACAGATGCTCTTTGATTCTTTTATTGATGGATCTAGCTGTAGCGCCAATATATAGGGGAGGGTGGGGATGAAAGGGACAAAATTCATATTTTTATTTTTCACTGGAAAAGTTTACTTCTAATCAGTTTTATTTTTAGTGCAAAAGATTCATTAAACCTTTACTTTGTTCTGACCATATTGTGAATTCACCCCATTATATTGGTAGTTGAACATGTTCATATTTTTAAAGACCTCTCCAAGTGTCCCTTTCATTCCCATGTCTGGGTTGAAAGGGACACACTCGGGGATAAAAGGGACTACCTGTGTTTTAATGTAAAACTTGAAATTAGTTATCTCAATGTTTTCAAATTTCGTTGTAACTGATAAGTGATAGGCTAGAGACTAAAATTTTTAAAAATTACACTTTTAATAATATGAATTATGTGACATCACATTTATTTTAAACAGTTAAAGATTATCAATACTTTTAAAACAATTAAAGATTATCAATATTTTTAAAACAATTAAAGAATATCAAATATTTTCAAACAAAGAACAATAACTAAAGAATATCACAATTAGTAGGCTCTCACATAATTAAACTGTCTTTCTTTGGTCAATAGAATGTTTTTCGCAATCTATCCCAGCCGATATGAGGTGAAATCAATGGAAAATATAAACTGTTTGCTTGCTCTTGCCGTTCCTCCTGCTTGGGATGGATGGGGTAGCTTTAAAACTATATCTTCCATGGTGACATCACTGATATCATCCTCTTCAGGAAATATGAACTTGTAACATCCTAATATTTTTTTCATAAACTTGACTTTCAAGTCTTCATCACTCAGTTTCTTTAAAACTTTTCCCACGAAGTAAACAACAGAAGTTTTTTTTGCAAATCTGACTAAAATGAAATCATTGGGCTGAATATGTTTGACACTGTTTTCGATATCAGATCCCTCACTCGATGTTGCATCAGACTTTGAGGAAGAGCTGCTTTGAGATCCTTCATCTTCACTTTCAGTTTCTTCTGGAATATGTTGCAACAGCTGCTTTTTAGATTTTGTCCTCNACCCACACGCGGTGAATACACTACATTGTCTTTTTTATATCTTGAAACAAGTCTAGCCAAATGCGATTTTGCAATTCCGTGGGTACTGGCTGTAGCCCTGATTGATGCTTCTTTTTCGACAACTTCAATTATTGCCCCTTGAATCACTTCTGGCATCACACGTTCTTTCTGTTTCTTTTTCTTATACTTTCGAGGCATTTTTTTCTATTAAAAAAATTTAGCATTAGAGCATGCCAAAAACATGTCAATATGGGGTTGAAAGGGACATGTCCCATTCATCCCCTATTTTACTGTCCCTTTCAACCCCCAGGCCTCAAGCAACCAAAACTACAACCTAACTTTCTGACAGTGAAATATAATTTAAAACCGATTAAATAAACATATTCTAGAGGTTTCAAAGTAATTATCCCAATTCAAGTACATTATCCAATGACCATGTTTGAGATTTTACCCCTAAATGTAAAAAATGAAGAAAACTTACTTTTGCATGTGTTTTCTGCTCATCTGGGAATTCCAAATACTGGCGCTAGTGTATTGGACCCTAAAAACATGTGAAAACTATGGACTACTAGTGTCATCTATCTGTGAAATAACAAAGCTCCATAAGTAATTTAGCAGCAAGATATAGAGACTGTCTCTTTCATCCCTTGTCCCTTTCATCCCCACCCTCCCCTACTAGTTCGCGATTGAATCTTCCATCTGTAATTGGGATATGATATTCTCCTGGAGCCCAATTTAAATTTATTTGATCTTTTCCATTGTATAATATTTGCTATACCATGCTATTACATTTATAGGTGATCTTTGCATCCACATTTTTTGCAATTTTTTCATAGATTGATCTAAGTCTTGTATTGAAGTTAACCACTATCAGTGACATGCTGTCCATAGAAGCTGTAGAAGCACTGCTTTCCTTGTATTTTCTAAAATATAAATACATATTGTGTGATTATTTTCATATTTTAACATACTTTGAATTAATTAAAATTACAAATTTCTACAGGCTACTACATGTGAAAAAATGATAAGATTGCTATTATATATTCGAATATAAATTTGTATATGCATATTTTCAATGGAAGGGCTATATTGTTGAATATGGAACAGCTTCCATGCTGAAAATATCTGAATCATGTAAAGCAGCTAGATTATACACATGCACTTTACAGAGCACCAACTTCACGTGGTTTTGCTCGTGAAGCTACACACCAAAATATTGTATAATGCTTCCAATGATTCTATCCAGGGCTGGCACAGCTTCCCTATCATCAGTTATCACTGCATGCCAGTGACCACTATATATCTGGACTTAGCTGGAGTATGTCATGTTTCTGTAGCACTATTAAGCTGTGAATGCAATTCTGTTTTGCGGATGTAATTTTGCACCAAACTATGACCAGTTTTTTTAGAGTACCCATCAGAAATTGCCACTTTTTCAATGTGTTTGAGTTCTTTATACCTGTCTAACATATTAGTGCCAAGCATAAATGCCCATCTCACTAATGCCTTAAAGGTTGCTATTGTGGTGTTTCGTTGCGACAAGTACAATGTCCCGCGAGCGGAAAGGTACGAAATAAATACACTTTGGATGTATTGAACACAAAGATATTTATTGTCACTTCGAAACAGGTTCGTTTCTTCCAGATCCCAACAATACAATGATCACTGTACGTACAGGCGTTAAAATTCGATCTAACAAACAGCGGATTAATTGAGGGTTACGACTATACGCGATACAAAAACTTACAAATAATTCTTACACTACTTATGACTAAAAAGGAAAAAAAAAAG